AGGCTCTTAACCTTGTGGTCGTGGGATCGAGTCCCACAGTGGACATTTCATAATTCTGACTGTCGGAGGTCTCCCACGGAAGTTGCTCTCAACCTGGAGTTGGGGGTAGCCTAATATCCTATCTCTCCCTTACCCTATTATATATGGGAATAGGATCAGCTAATTTTTTTTCGTTAAATGAATATGTTATATGTGAAATGCCTATATGTAAATGATCTACGAGAATGTATATGCAAATAAGATACACTTTTAATGGTGAAACTTAAAATAATTATAAATGAAAGCTCAAGGTGTATATGTGAGAATTAGGAGTATAGTTGGCATGCCAAGAGTCGAGGGTTCTACGCGGTCCTTCAGAACAATCTATGTGATCCTTCGGGATATTTCTACGTGGTCCTTCGGGATAAATTCTATGTGGTATTTCGGTACAAATTATACGTGGCATTTCGGTACAAATTATATGAGTTGTGGTGACATCAATTGTGCACAACCTCAATGTACTCAAATATCCTAAATTCTCAGTGTTATACATTGGGTTAAATGAATAAAGTTATAAGCTGAATAAAGAATGAGTTAATGAAGTTTTAGAAATCAAATTTCATTTAATTAGGAAAGGTTTTATATATTAAATGAAAAAGATGTTTTTAAATGTTTTATGCTACTTATTGCCTCACTAATTCAAAGACTTGGCGTGTGGATTGTTTCCCACGTAGGTTCAAAGGGATTAGAAGAGTGACGATTAGGAAATGACAACATAAGCAGTGAAGATCAGATCAGAAACATTTGAGATAATAGGTTATTAAATTTATACATTTTGTTGGCATGTATCCCTGGTTTAACTGGAAATGCTCTGATCAATTTTTGTAATTGTAAATTTTATAGTGTTTATGTAAATGATGAATTATACATTGTCAGTTAAATTTGTAAGTGTGCTCTTTATTTTTAATCAAAATTTTCTAATATTCAAAAGGAATTTTTTTTAATTGTCAAGTGTTTGTTAAAAGTTATAGATTTGAAAAGTCAATGTGGCACTTTGACTCCGTATTCGGGTCGAATACGGGTTGGGGCGTTACATTTATTGGTATCAGAGCTATGGTTTAATTGATTTTAAGTTCAAATGAAGTATTTTTGTTTTAAAATAGTGTACATGTCAACTAGAAGAAAAATGTTCTGATCTGATAAGGTAGTTATTATGTTATCCTCACTGATAGAATATTAATTCCCTCTTATTAGATGTCGGATTTGGAGGGCTTCCGAAGTAAAGCGGGAGAAGGTCATGAAGGAAGTAGTAATTCGCCTGCCCCAGTTAGGCAAGGTGAAGAACATGCGTCTCAAGGGGTCTCTATGCATGATTAGGGAGTTTTTTCAGAACGTTGGACGCTATTCTAACGTGTTTCCAACCTTCTGCTTCTTCAACCCCTAAGATGAATATGGCCAAAGAATTGAAAGGATTAGGAGCATCGGAGTTCAAAGGTGAAGCTGATGAAGACCATGTGGCTGAAGATCTTTGGTTGAATGATATAAAGATCATGTTGGAGGGTCTCCATTGTTCTGAAGTGGAGAAATTAGATGGAGTTATATCGGTACTAAAAGGACAAGCTCGGATATGGTGGACAAATGTGTCGATGAGAGCTACGAGGGATCAGTTAACATGGCCATTTTTCCTAGTGGAGTTTAAAAATAAGTATATTGGAGATCAATTTATTCGCCAGATGAAATAAGAGTTCATGAGCTTGAAACAAGAGAATCGTACGGTGTATGAGTACGAGTGTGAATTTAATAAGCTAAGTCAATTTGCCTCGGATTGGTTCCAACAGAAAAGGATTATTGTTACTGGTTTGTGGAAGGGTTACGCCCTAGATTAAAAGAATTAATGTTAGCGTTAAATCTTTCCACGTTTCAAGATGTGTTGAATAGAGCTAAAGATTTGGAGCGAGCTCAGAATGAAAGATTCAGGGAACAAAAGATCTAGTGGAACAAGAGAACTGGTGCCTCGTCAAGTGCGTCGCAATCAAAGAAAAACTGAGGTTTGAGTTTTCGAACCCAAGCAAGATCTGAGTCAGCTGCATCCTCAGATAGAGGATCCAATCCGAGTAGAGCTAGATATAATCAATCGGTAGAATTAGGAGCAGGAAGAGCAAGTCAATGTTAGCATTGTGGCAAACACCATTGTGGTATTTGTAGAGTGGCTTTTGGAGCATCTTTTTGGTGTGGAGAAATGGGACATTTTATCTGGGACTACCCATTAAATACTAGAGAAACTGTATCACCCGAGAGATCTGTTGCTGTATCTCAGAGAGGAAAAGGACGAGGCAAAGAGAGGAATCAGTCTGAGTCAACTAGTCAACCTAAAATTTGTTCAACTGCTCAGGTACACAACCTTAAGACTAGTGAAGATCGCGATGATTCGGAGATCATTGCAGGTACTTTTCAGTTATGTGATAAACCTATTTTGGTTTTGATTGACCCAAGATCAACCTATTCTTATATCTGTAGTAAATTAGTGAAAGAACTGAAACTTCCATAGAAGCTATAAGCAATGATATGATAGTGTCTAACACATTGGGGAAGAGTGCTTGGGTAAATCAGTTGTGTCAAGGGAATCCCATAAAGATTCAGGGAATTGAATTCCCTGCTAATCTAATGGAATTACCCTTTGATGAGTTTGAGATCATTTTGGGGGATGAACTGGTTATATTGCTATTATGCCAATGTTGATTATCGTTTGAAGCGAGTAATTTTGACAAGTTCTGAGGGATATGAAGTGATGGTAATTAGTGAAAGATTCAATCCTTTAGCAAATGTAATATCCGTAATGTCAGCCAAGAAATTGATGTTGCAAGGATGTCCAACTTTTATTGCAAATGTAATTGATGCTCGAGTTAAGGATAGAAAATTGGAAAATATTCCCATTGTTCAAGAATTTCCCGAAGTATTCCCGGAGGAATTATCAAGGTTACCTCCAGATAGGGAGGTAGAATTTCAAATTGAAGTTATGTAAGGAATAACACCTATTTCCATGACCCCTACAGGCTGGCTCCGAGGGAACTAAAAGAGTTAAAAGTTCAGTTACAAGAGCTTTTGAACAAAGGACTTATCAGGCCCAGTGTGTCACCGTGGGGTGCGCTGGTATTATTCGTAAAGAAGAATGATGGGTCGATGTGCCTCTGTATTAATTATCGACATCTCAACAAGGTGACCATTAATAACAAATATCCTCTCCCTAGAATCGATGATTTATTTGATCAACTTAAAGGAACTGTGGTGTTCTCTGAAATCGATTTACGCTCAGGTTATCATCAATTGAAGATACAAGATAATGATATTCCAAAAACGTCATTTAGGACTCGATATGGCCATTATGAATTTGTAGTAATGCCATTTGGATTGACAAGTGCACCTGAAACGTTTATGGATCGGATGAATAGAGTTTTTCAATCCTATCTCGATCAGTTTGTGGTAGTTTTATTGGTGATATTCTAGTATATTCAAAGTCTACGGAGGATCATAAGGCTCATCTTCGTGTGATTCTTCAGATGTTGCGTGACAAGAAGTTGTATGCTAAGCTTTCTAAGTGTGAGTTTTGGCTATCAGAATTGGCTTTCTTAGGACATGTGATTTTTGCAGATGAGATTTGGGTAGATCCCTTGAAAATAAAAGTTATCCTAGATTGGGAAGTTCCAAGAAATGTTTCAGAAGTGCAAAGTTTCTTGAGTTTAGCGGGATATTATCGATGGTTTGTAAAGGACTTTTCGATGATTTCCTCCCCTTTAACCAAGTTGTTAAGGAAAGATGTGATTTTATCATGGAAAGATCAGTGTCAAATGAGCTTCGAAACTTTAAAGAAGATTCTTACAGAGGCTCTGGTGCTAGTGCAACTAGAATCGGGCAAAGAATTTACCATTTATAGTGATGCTTCTCTAAATGGTTTGGGATGTGTTTTAATGCAAGATGGAAATGTGATTACTTACCCTTCTAGATAACTTAAGCCTCATGAGAAGAGTTATCTGACTCATGATCTAGAATTAGTAGCAGTAGTCTTTGCACTGAAGATTTGGCACCACTATTTATATGGTGAGCAATGTTTCATCTTTACTGATCATAAAAGTTTGAAGTATTTGTTAACTCAAAAGGAGCTTAACTTAAAGAAAAGAAGGTGTATAGAGCTATATAAGGATTATGATGCAATCATAGATTATTATCCCGGGAAAGCTAATATTGTAATGGATACTATGAGTCGAAAGACTTTTACTGCTTTACATGCTTTAAATGCTCGATTTGTGTTGAAAAGTAATGGTACTTTGCTGGCTGAATTGAAGTTAAGTCCGTTATTATTGAAGCGGATACAGGATTTATAAAAGAATGATGATAAATGTTTAGTTTGGTTCAAGTAAATTCAGAAGGATGAAATCTCGGACTTTGAAGTTAAGTCAAATGGATGTCTATATTTCAGAGATCGAGTTTGTATTCCTAATGATGAGGAGTTAAGGTGAGATATAATTTCTGAAGCACATTGCAGTCCACTAACTATGCATCCAGGGGGAAACAAGATGTACCAAGATCTGAAAGAGCGTTTTTGGTGGCCATACATGAAAAGAACCGTGATAGAGTTTGTGTCAAAGTGTCTTACTTATCAATAAGTGAAAACTGAGCATCAGGTGCCTTCGGGACTTTTGCAACCGATTTATATTCCTCAATGGAAGTTGGAAAGAGTTACGATGGATTTGGTAATTGGATTACCTTTGACACCTGGCAAGAAGGATTCAATATGGGTTGTTGTAGATAGATTGACTAAGACCACTCATTTACTTCTGGTTTGAACGGATTATTCGATGGATAAGTATGCAACTTTATATCTTAAGGAGATAGTTTGATTGCATGGAGTGCCAGTCTCAATAGTATCTAATAGGGATTCAAAATTTACTTCAAGATTTTGGAAATCTTTGCATGGAGCTTTGGGTACTCGATGAACTTTAGTACTTCTTTCACCTTCAAAACCAATGGTCAATCAGAAAGATCGAGTTTGTATTCCTAATGATGAGGAGTTAAGGTGAGATATAATTTCTGAAGCACATTGCAGTCCACTAACTATGCATCCAGGGGGAAACAAGATGTACCAAGATCTGAAAGAGCGTTTTTGGTGGCCATACATGAAAAGAACCGTGATAGAGTTTGTGTCAAAGTGTCTTACTTATCAATAAGTGAAACTGAGCATCAGGTGCCTTCGGGACTTTTGCAACCGATTTATATTCCTCAATGGAAGTTGGAAAGAGTTACGATGGATTTGGTAACTGGATTACCTTTGACACCTGGCAAGAAGGATTCAATATGGGTTGTTGTAGATAGATTGACTAAGACCACTCATTTACTTCTGGTTCGAACGGATTATTCGATGGATAAGTATGCAACTTTATATCTTAAGGAGATAGTTTGATTGCATGGAGTGCCAGTCTCAATAGTATCTAATAGGGATTCAAAATTTACTTCAAGATTTTGGAAATCTTTGCATGGAGCTTTGGGTACTCGATTGAACTTTAGTACTTCCTTTCACCTTCAAAACCAATGGTCAATCAGAACGACGATTCAAGTGCTGGAAGATATGTTAAGAGCATATGCAATTGATTTTCATGGATCATGGGAAAAGTATTTACCGCTTGCGGAGTTTTCATATTATAATAGTTATCAAGCAAGTATTAAGATGGCACCATATGAAGCGTTATATGGAAGGAAGTGTAGAACGCCTCTTAATTGGTATGAATTGAAGGATAGAGAGGTTCATGATCCTGATTTATTAAAAGAAAAGAAAGTATTACAACATAACCTTAAAGTGGCATCAGATAGGAAAAAGTCATATGCAAATTTGAAGAGAAAAGAAATTGAATTTAAATAAGGCGACAAAGTTTTCCTCAAAGTATCGCCTTAGAATAGAGTATTCGTTTTGGGCGTAAAGGAAAGTTTAGTCCTAGATTTATGACCTTATGAAGTTTTAAAGCGGGTTGGACCTGTAGCATATAAGTTGGCTTTGCCTCTAGAACTAGAGGAGATTCAATGTCTTTCATGTATCGATGCTCTGGAGATATAGATCAGATCCTTCGCATATCTTAGCGTCCGATATAATAGAAGTCCAAGATGATTTGACCTATAAGGAAGAACCAGTACAAATTTTGGCTCAGGAAGTCAAGAAGCTGAGGAGTAAGAGGATTTCATTGGTTAAAGTGTTATGGAGAAATCATAAAGTAGAATAGGCAACTTAGGAACGTAAAGAGGACATGAAACGGTAGTTTCCTCATCTCTTTGTTCAGTGAAAATTTGAGGGCGAATTTTATTTAGGGGGAGAATTATAATACCCCAAACATTGGGTTGAAGATCAAAATGTAAGAAATTTAAAGTTTAGTACTGTAATTGGAAAAAGTGATAAGTTCAAGGACTAATGGTTGAATATTTTGTGTTAGGAGTTGATTGCAAAGAAGGAAGAGAATAACGAAAAGATGGTCTTTTTAAGTATATGGATTTTATATCCATTTTATTTTAAGTTATTAAGTGGATAAGGGAGGATGAGAGTTATCTGAAAGATTAGTTAATTTCTCTTCTTCTTCTTTGGCTCATGACTTCTTGGCTTAAGGTAAATAATATTAAGTTATTGATTTCTTTAATTTTTGGGTTTATATTGAAGCTATAAAAGGTAGAGAAGATTAAGGAAGCTTGGAAATGAAGAAAACTAAGTTAATAAGGAATTATCAGGGATTGAATAATATGGGCTTTGAGGTGAAAATTTGTAAATTGGTTAATTAATGAATTCTAAAGGTAGAATTGACTTGTTAAAATCCTAGCTAAGGGATTTGAGGTGTTAGAAATAAATAATAACATGTTTGATGAATGATATGACTTTTAGTTTCAAGGATATTATTGAGAAATTTGGATGTCATAAGAGGATTAGTGAAGATAAGTGATTAGTATGAGTATTAGTGAGTTTGAGGAAATGATTAGAGTTAAAAGTAAAATATTTAGATGATTTTTGGGTTTAAATTTGAAGTGGAAGAATTGAAAATCTGAGCAAGAGTATCGGTACTATAATAACATTATCGATACTTCAAGGCTTAAACAATTGAAAATCAAGGATCGGTATCGGTACTGATTGTTGGGGTACCGATACTGTAAGGGGAGTATCGATACCAAGAGTAAGGTATCGATACCATTTTGAAGCTAAAATTCCAGTATGTAGAAATGTTATCGGTACCAAAGGGGGGTATCGATACCAACAAAGAGAAGTATCAGTACTGTAGATGGAGTACCGATACTACTAAGTATGAAATGAGAGATTTAGTGTTTCTTGTAGATTAAGTTTTTATGATTTAGGATAAGTGGTTCGATATTTATTTTCGATTGTTTTGTGTAGATTGTGATCAAAATCAACCTTCGGATAACTCGATATTACAAGTTTTGAACATAAGAGTAAAGGACTTTAGTGAGGCAAAGGTGAGTGCAATCAAATTGTTTTATATTGGATTTGAGGACGGCTTGCGATAAGCCAACTTCAAATTTTTCGATCGAAAACTATTTTCAATTCTTTTATGCAATATTTTATGATGTTTTATTCAATTATATGTTAAATTAAGTTTTATGGGTAATTGTGTTGAATGAATATGTGATATGTGAATGCGAAATGCCTATATGTAAATGATCTACGATAATGTTCTATATGCAAATAAGATACACTTTTAATGGTGAAACTTAAAATAATTATAAATGAAAGCCCAAGGTGTATATGTGAGAATTAGGGGTATAGTTGGCATTCCAAGAGTCGAGGGTTCTACACGGTCCTTCGGGACAATCTATGTGATACTTCGGGATATTTCTATATGGTCCTTCGGGATAAATTCTACGCGATCCTTCGGGACAAATTCTACGTGGCGCTTCATTGTAAATTATATGAGCTGTGGTGACAACAATTGTGCAGAACCTCAGTGTACTCAGATATCCTAAATTCTTAGTGTTATACATTGGGCTAAGTGAATAATGTTATAAGCTGAATAAAGAATGAGTTAATGAAGTTTTAGAAACCAAATTTCATTCTATTAGGAAAGGTTTTATATATTAAATGGAAAAGATGGTTTTAAATGTTTTATGCTACTCATTGCCTCATTAAGTCAAAGACTTAGCGTGTGGATTGTTTCTCACGTAGGTTCAAAGGGATCAGAAGAGTGAAGATTAGGAGAGGACAACATAAGCAGTGAAGATCAAATCAAAAACATTTGAGATAGTAGGTTATTAAATTTATACATTTTGTTGGCATGTATCCCTGATTTAAATGAAAATACTCTGATCAGTTTTTGTAATTGTAAATTTTATAGTGTTTATGTAAATGATGAATTATACTTTGTCAGTTAAATTTGGAAGTGTACTCTTTATCTTTAATCAAAATATTCTATTGTTCAAAATATTTTTTTAATTGTCAAGTGTTTGTTAAAAGTTATAGATTTGAAAAGTCAATGTGGCACTTTGACTCAGTATTCGGGTTGGATACGGGTTGGGGCGTTACAATAAATTACTAATCTATTAATTTTCTAATAAATAATTATAAATATTTAAATTATTAATTAATAATTATTATTTTTCTACACACAAATATCAACACTAATTATTATTTTAATGTATTTATGTATTTTTATTCTAGTGTTCAGACTTTAAATTTGTTTCATACACGCTTGATAAATTTTTAGTTAAATTTATTAATTTATCTTTATATTAACTTCTATATATTATTAGTATATTTTAATTATAGTTAAAAAATAAAATAAAATTTTTGGCGAGCTTAGCGAACAACGAACTTAATGAGTTTAACGAGAGATGGGTCGAGCAACAAATTTTCTTAACAAGGACGAGTCGAGCAAAATTTTAACGAGCTTAACGAGCACCGAGACGAGTTTAGTAACAAAATTTTTTAACGAACACAAGTCAAGCACTGCCCAACTCGCGATCGACTCACTCGATAATCACCCCTAATCACAATTTTTGGTGGTTGGGTACTTTTGGATCTACATCTGGGCATATTACTTCTCATGAGCCCGCAACTAGTAATCCAAATTAAAAAGAGAAGAAAAAAATTATTTATTTAATCGCATATCTATTTTAACAATTTTATGAATTTTTTGGGCGACTTAAATTTGAGAATAAGAAGTATTTAACACATGGGGAATTAGAGGGTTGCGTTCCACCATGAACCATTAGGTTCCAGAGTTGTTGAGGCCTTGAGATCATAGACATGCTTTCGTTAATCTTCATCTATCTTTTCTATTCTTCTTGGCTATGATCGACAAATAAGGGAACATTTTCATTGTCATCCCTCCGAGAAGATTATTCCAGCTGGTGACAATCGTCGGTATTTAAGGCTCTCTCTTTCTCCTCTCCTCGTCGTTTGGCTCCCTAGTGATGGGAGATCAACAACTGTTGAAAGGGCTTAAATATAGACTCATGTTGTAATAGTATGTGGGCCGCTTGGGAGGTTTGAAATTGTACATGTAAGTTTTGTACCTCGTTTTGGAGGTTTTGAATATGTTAGTTTTTCGAGCATTAAGGTATAGGTAGTTTTGGCCGGTATGTTGGTCAGTCTGGTTATACGTGCCGTGATAAGCCTAATGATATCTGAAATAGAGAGGGTCATGGGCGTTCCGTTGTTGACGAATGGATGGGATTTTGAGAAAAAGAAAGGTTGATAAGATTCTGTGGAGGAGGAAGAAGGAGCCTGATGTCATCATTTTGGTCAACTTGGTCGGTTTCACGAGTTGGATCAACTTAATGTGTTTGATCATTGGACTGTTATTGCAGTCGGTTTGATCGTTTTGACTCTAGTCGTTCTGGTTTTGAGGACTCATCTTTGAATGATATTTAAAAATTAAAAGTAATCTACACTAACATCACAAATTCATGATGAGAACAAGTTTAACTTATCGATCGTGAATGACTCACTCTTTTTAGTTCAGGTGGAGAGTCGTGACTGATAAGAAATATCTATTAGTCGACGCTTTTTATTAAAGAATGATGGAGAAAGCTTTTTCGAAGAGGATGAAATGATTCTAGAGGGAAGAAAAATCTTTTTTTCGGTCATACCCAAAATATAAATACACTGATAGTAGAATGTTTGATGTCAAACTTAGGGTTATAATAATTTAGGTTGTCAGTTCGTACATATTCATCTATCAGTCATTAAATTTACTTGTAAAAGTCACATAAGAAGATTATGAAGAGAAATTCCGAATGACCATCTTGTTAGAGTAATTATTGGAGTGGTCTGACATTTCTGAAGAATTTTTGAATAATTCTTTTGGTAAATGTGCTTAGTGATTATGTTGACGGAATGTCAAAATTCCTCGACGAGTTTACGGTATAACAATTAAAACTATTGTTGAGACCGTCTTTCGGGTGGATCTAGAATTG